AAATATCAAAGTAATCTATAGTGTATAACAGCTTTGTGCCTGTTAGTGTCGTGTAACGTTCGTAATCAGATGACGTAAGACGATTGGTAATCGTTTAAATATCGATCTGCTAACATCTTAGTGAGTGAGTGAGCGAGTGAGTGAGCGAGTGAGTGAGTGACACATTTGCATATCCAGACCCCTCACAATAACTCGTTTCTACGCTTCGCGTATCCACGAGTTAAAAACTATATAAGCGGCATATTGAATAAATTAATTAATAAATTTTGATTAAAAAAAACAAAAACAAAAAAAAACAAAAACAACAACAACCCTGCATGGACACCCGAATGATGGTTCAACTATCATTTAAGTTTGCTGCTGCTAAGGATTGGAATAATTTGCCTAAGGATTTGAGAGAACTTAGCTCTTTTTCCATTTTTAAAAACAAGCTTTTTAAGTATTTTTTTAGATTTCGATAAAAAAGAGCATAAGTGTACTGTACGATAGATTTTTTTCTTCTTCATATATTTATTTCATTATTTAATTACTTAACCAATAATCTACACTAATCTACACGAAAATCGCGCGTTTTCGATATATCTTTTGTAGCCTATTTTATTGTTTTTGTTTTGTTTTGTTTTGTTTTTTCGAGCCTCGTATATACAATGGGTATATATGTTTTGTGGGCGCGGGGTTTTCGTGTTTCTGTGTATATATGTATATATTATACTTAATTTTCTCTTTTCTTATATTTATACTTTTAGGTTCTCAATTTTTTCTCGCAAATTTTTGGTATAGATTTTATTTAGATTTTCATACATTTTATATTGCTGATCACCGGTTCATACCAGCTGTTCTATCGTGAGTAGTTATAATTCCCACTATAACGCCTTTTGGAAGGGAGGGGTGGTCTAAATCCCTGAATGCCACCTTAAGCATGTAGGGGGGAGGGGAGGTCTAATTTCCTGAATACCCCCTTAAGAATGTAGGGGGGAGGGGAGGTCTAATTTCCTGAATACCCCCTTAAGAATGTAGGGGGAGGGGTGGTCTAATTTCCTGAGTACCCCCTTAAGAATGTAGGGGGGAGGGGAGGTCTAATTTCCTGAATACCCCCTTAAGAATGTAGGGGGGAGGGGTGGTCTAATTTTGTGAATACCCTTTGAGAATGTAGGAGGAGGGGTGGTTTGAAATTCCAAAATGTCCCCTTGAGAATGTTACCAAATTCCTGACTACCCTCTTGAGATATCTGAGTATTTGAATACATACTGTGGAATGTGTGAAAGAATATATAATCTAAAAGAGGGTATAGGAGAATCATTCAAAGTATTTAGAGCTTTTCGTTTGGGCAATTTGAATTGCACTTTTA